TCAGTGCTAGTTCAATCCCCAGCCCTGGAGGTGACCCACATGACGCAGCAGACCTCTCCTGACCTGCCCGCTGCTCCACTCAGCAATCTGCCTGTCTTTCATCCATCTGCCTGTCCTGCTCCCCACTCTGTCTCTGGTAAAGCCTCTCACCACCCCTGCACCTCTGGCTTGTACCCCAGGTCTGTATGCATAAATAAATAATTGTTTTAATGAATTTTTTTTAAAAGTTTAAAAAAGAAAACTCAAATTCAGGTACATTTTACAAATAATTGACCAACTCTCTTTAAAGGTGACAAGGAAAGAAAGGCCAGGAAAATAAGGAAACATGTTATCTGAATGTAAATGTGGTATCCTGCATTGGAAAAATATTAGTCTGGATAAACCAGGGAAATCAGAGGAAATTTTTAAATTATTTAACATTATTAAACAATTCTAAGGTCTAAATTTAATAAATATATGGTTATGTAAGATATTAATAATAAGGACAAGGGTATACAGAAATTCTGTACTCTCTACAACCCTTCTGTAAACCTAAAATTATTTCAAAATCAAAGATTATTTTTTAACTGCACTTTCTTTGTAATATCAGAGAGGTGTTACAAATTTTAAGATACCAATATATGCAAACCAGTAAGGTGACTTTTTATGGGGAAAAGATTAAGTTTTTTAACCTATTAAAGAATCACAAAAGTAAACTTGTTGACTTTAAACCTTAAAATTTTAAAAGACTGGCCCTCCCTGGTGGCGCAGCGGGTTAAAGCACTGCACTATGAAGCTGAAACCACTTCTGCATGAGTTCGATTCCCGCCTGCCCCGGAGGTGACCACATGGCGTGGCAGACCTCTCCTGACCCGCCCGCTGCTCCCCTCGGCAGTGTACTTCCTCGATCTGCCTGTTCTGCTCCCCACTCTGTCTCTGGTGAAGTCTTTCGCCACCCCTGAGTCTCTGGCCTGTACCCCAGTTCTGTATGCACAAATAAATAAATCTTTAAAAAAAAAAAATTTTAAAAGACAAACAAAACAGCATATGGTCTACATTGAGATTAATCAAGAGAACTCTAAGAAATAGTATGAACCCAGGGCCCTCCCTGGTGGCACAAGGGGTTAAAGCACAGCACTGTGAAGCTATCCACAGCCACTGCAGCATAAGTTTGATCCCCAGCTAGGGAAGTGACCCACATGGCACAGCAAACCTCTCCTGTCTCACCTACTTCTCTCCTCAGCACTGTATTTCATTCAATCCACCTGTTCTGCTCCCCACTCTGTCTCTGATGAATCCTCTCAACTCTCTGCAACTCTGGCCTTTACCCCAATTCTCATATACATGAAATAAAGTCTTGAAAAAAGAAGAAGAAATAGTATGACTGGACACATCTTTTTTTTCTTAAGATTTATTTTTATTTATGCATATAAGAGCTGGGGTGTAGGCCAGAGGTTGGGGGGGGGGTGAGAGAATTCACCAGAGATAAAATGGGGAGCAAAACAGGCAGATCTACTGAAATACACTGCTGAGGGGAGCAGTGGGTGAATATAGGCTTCATCACATGGATCAGCTCCCAGTCTCTGGTTCCTACCCATGCTGCAGTGGCTGCCTTTAACCCCTTGACAGTGCTGACTTTAACTCCTGCACTACCAGGGAGGCCCTGACCCCACATTTCTATAAGTTTGCTTTTTCCCCTTTCTTGACCCTAATTGTTCTCAACATACTCCTAGCAATAAGTACACAGTAACCTAGTTCTAACAGAGCCGTGTAAAAGGATAAAATCAGTGATAATTATTTGATATCCCTTTCATACTGGACACATTAAGTGAACCATCACCAAGATGATTTCCAATGGATCAAAATGTCCCTAATTTTTAAAATGGAGCAGGAGGAGGGAAAATGGCAATGCCAAAAATTTGTTTGTTTGTTTTTAATTATTTATTTATGCATACAGAGACTGGGGCACAAGCCAGAGGTGCAGGGGGGAGTGAGAGGATTCACCAGAGACAGAGCAGGGAGCAGAAGTGAAACACACAGAGCAGGAAGACTGAGTGAAACACACTCAGACTGAGTGAAACACACAGAGCAGGAAGACTGAGTGAAACACACTGCTGAGTGAACAGCACAGGTGGTCAGGAGAAGTCTGCTGCGCCATGTGGGTCACCTCCCAGGCAAGGGATGGAACTAGTGCTGCAGAAGCTGTGGATAGCTTCATAGTGGTTTAACCCTTTGTATCACCAGGAGGGCCAGTGCCAAAAATTTGATGTGTCAACAGTAAAAGTTCACAGAGCCAAAGGATAAAACACCAAATTCAGAGATAAGATTAGTCAAAATAAAGAATAAGATAATGATATCAGGAAGTCTTAATTTCTCAGACTAAAGCTAACTCACCTATCTTGAATTAGATGGGAGGTTTAAACCACAAAAGCCCCTTCACATAGAGAACTCCCACACCCTTTATATAACCAAAATAAAAACTGTGGCCCAGTGTGGTTGCCTGCTCTGAAGATGCTTCAAATAAGCTTGAGAAACCTGTCCTACTCTCCTCTGAAGTCATATTATGTAATAAAAATGTTTATACCCTCAAAAAAAACAAAAATAAAGCTAAATCATCTAGATATAAGAAAATCTAATGCTCTTTCACAGTCAACAAACAACAGAAAATTGCTTTATAATATGTAACAAAGTTATCTGGAAATTGCAGCAGGTGAAATTATGATGAGATAACAAATATATTAAAACAATGACTTGGGGAGGAAATGTGATAGAAACAAGCTGAGTTCACTGAGGAAGGGAAGGCTTCAGTAACTTGGTTAAAATATCCCTTAAAGACAGGGGTGGGGAGTGAGGGTGATAATGATAATGAACAACTATATACCAGAGACATTTTACAGAGGTGGAATCACAAATGGGGGGAAGGGGAGAAGTGCACAGGACTATTGTGATAGCACACAGGTGAATTGGTGATGGGAAGTCCATGGAGACTGCAGCTGAGTTGAAAAAGGGGCACAAAATTATGTAAAAATAAACTATTTTAAAAAATCCCTTAAGAACATCCAGTGCCCCTAATCCCAATTCTACAGTCTACTGCCTACTGATGAGACTGCCCAGAAAGAAAAGAGGTGTCCTGGCCAGAGGATAATTAATTCCAACTGTGTAGGAGGCACTTAATACTTTCAATGTTCAATGTAAGTAAATTTCAATCTGGTTTGTCAATCTCTAGTGAATTTAATTTGCAAGAATAAATTCTAAAGCCCCCTGAATCACCCATGTCTGCCAAAAATTTTGAGTTAACTACTGTGTAAGGGTCAGAGACCTTGATGTGGATGCCTCTCCCGCCACTTGACTATCTGTGTGACCTCTCATTTCTGTCTGTGTCAAGTTCCTCATCTGTTAGGTGAATACCTGTAATTAATGCCTGTAAAATGGCAAGTGCTCAAAAGTGACGGCTTTATTATTTTTAAACCAAATTTGAAAGAAAGTATGACTGTGGTAAAAACTCAAACACATCACTTTAAAAGACACCCTTAATGAGAGGTATCCCATTTATATACAGAGTTGAGAAAAATTAAAAAATTGCAAGTACCCAATGCACAGTAGAGATGGAGTCTTTTGCTTAGCAACTCTAATGTTGTCTACCAAACACCCAGTTTGTAATAGTTAGAGCATGACAACTGTTCACTCTAAATCCATGTGCTGGGCTTGGATTCAGGACTGATTTATAAAAATAGCTACTGCTGCTCTACGAATCTTTGAGCTGATGACTGGGCAGTGTTACCCTATAGGCCTGGAGCAGCTGTATTCCCGTGCCACACCCATTTCTCTGCCGACCAAGTCGAGCTGACTAGCAACCCCCTCCCATCTCTGCAGCACACTATTCTCCCTCTTCCTGGGCTGAGTGAGCAAATTACAAGCACAAATATCCCCTGATGCAATGCCACAACCATCCCTGGGAAAAGGCAGACACAGTTGCCAAAAGCTCAGCAGCAGGGAAATGGGCGGGACACACACACTCATATACACGCACACTCACACCAAGAAACACTGCAATGCTGTGCAGCCAGGGAAGAGAATCGAGAGGCCCTGGGGAGCAATACTGTAACTGGACCAGAGAAGGAAAAGGAGAAAAGGGGGTTTCCAGAAGAAACTGGGTAACACTAATCTTCCTGAGGAGCACGTTTCACCCTGGTTCTGGGTAGTAAAATACAAACCTAAGGGTAATCTCTGCCTCCTTCTAAAAGTAGCAAATGCAATTAATTTACAAACTCCTGGAGAGAAGCAAAACACCCAACATTCCCCCAACGGGCAATTTCACTCCAGAGCTCAGGCAACAAACCAGCCGAGAACCTGTTCCATGTGCTAAATCACAATCTCTGCTCTGGATAAGGATTCCAACTGCCCCTCTTCGTCACTGTCCTAATCCTCCCATCCCCACCCTATTACCCTCACAGCGACCCCTGCACATTCCCGCAGCAGACACATGCGTAGTCCCCACAGTGTTAGGGCCGCGGCACGCAGGGAGAGCCTGGTTGGCGCCGGCTTCTCCAGACCACCCCTCCGCCCCTCTAGAACCCCCTACAGGTCGACCTCTCTAAGGTTCGCCTCAGACCCCGCCTCAAATGACCTCCAAAAAGTCTCCCGAAAAGTCCTCTGAGTTCTCCTCATGCGCCCCCGAGCCGCACCCAGAGCCCACACGGCCGCCGACCCTCGCTCCGCGGGCTCAGCCTCATCCCCCGCGCGAAGTGTGCCTCTCGGCCCCACCCCGCCAGACTCCCGAAGCCCGACCTCTCAGCCCGCCCCACCCCGCGGGCCCCTAGATCTTAACTAACTCCCGAAAGAGCAAGCCCGCGGGCCCCCAGCCCAGCCGCCCCCGCGTCCAGCAAGCCGCCAGCCACCGCCCTTCCTCGCTTCGGGTGGGCCTTTGCGGGGTCCCGGGCGGCAGCAGGGCGAGGCTCCAGCAGTCCCCCGGACGGAGGAGAAGCCGCCCCCCAGACAGCCCCGCCAGCAGCTGCACCTACCCGCCGCCGCCGCGCCGGAGCTGGAGCCGGAGGGAGCCGGGAGAGGGCCGGGAGCAGCCAGGGGTAGCCGGAGCGAGGGAGCCTTGTCCTAGGGGCGGGGCACAGGGAGGCGGCCGCTTCCTCGTCGCCTTCTTGAGGGCCGGCGGGAGGGAGGGGCGCCGCCACCACCTATCCCGCGGGCGCCGCAGCTCTGACCAATAAGAGCGACGAGGAGGCGGGCAGAGGGTCGCGGCAGGCCAATGAGCGCCAGCCCCGCCGCTTCTTCTACGCGGGGGTAGGGGCGCGAGCTGAGGGCCGTTGGGGGCGAGGTACGCTTGGGGGCTTCAAACTCCCGCCTCCAGCCGGCTAACGTCTAACCTCTGGCTGTCAGACCGGCAGCCTGACCTGGCCTGCGAGAATAGTCACTTCCTTTAGAACTTCGGTGCTTGGAGCGGAGGGGATGCCTATCGCCGGGCTCGCGCGGCTCGGGCCCGGGTCTCCCCGCCGGCCGGGCCTGCAGCTCTGTGATGTCACCTGGGAGGGGCGCGGGGCGGGGTCTAGGGCGCGAGCCAGCGGTCGCGGAAGGAATGGGGCTAAGGGGGAGCTGGGGGTGGGGGGAAGGAGAGCTAGAGGACGCGGCTAGGGGACCTCTCCGGAGCAGCTCCACCGTCAGCCACCACTGACGTGATTGAACCGAGTTGAGATGTGCTGTACAGTACTTAACCCAAGACAATACAAATATACATAAAGTTCTCATTCATAACAGATTACACAACTGATTAGTTTGATTTTAAAAACTACAATAAACATATTTAGTTAAATAAGATATATTTAAAAGAATTTTATGTGTCCTTTTACTTTTTAAAATGTGGCCACTTGGACGGTTTTGGTCCAGTGTGAAAAGTGGTAACTATAAGAACTTTTGAGTGCTTCCTATGTCCCAAGCACTCTTTACATTTATTCTAGAAGGTCGGTATTAATGTTCTTATTCTCATTTTACAGATGTGGAAACAAATACAGAAGCTTGGTAATTTGGTAATGTCAGCTAGCCAGTGATTGGCAGAGTGGGGTTTTAACTCAGAGAGCCAGGCTAGAGCATGCTGGTAACCAGAAAGTGTATTGGACTTAGTTGAAAGCCCTGGCATTAAGTTCCAGCTTTGCTACTTTATAGCAGTGTAACCTTGGGAAACTTAAGCTTAGTTGCTTTATTTATGAAAATGAGATAAGATAGTCATTGCTTCTCAGTCACTAATAGGATAGACTAGAGGTAGCAAGTATACTGACTGAGGGTAGTTAAATTTGTACTGTAGAACCATACTCCCTGTGTGCAGATCTGGGTACTACTATTTATAAGTTATGTGAGCTTATGGAAAATAGTTAATGTCTCTGTACTTAGTTTTCTCAACTCTAAAGTGGCTAATAATAGTACCTACACCTTGTTAGGGTAGTTATGTGAGTCAAATGTGTTCAGATACGTAAAGTATTGGGGTTGGTGCTTAGGACTCAGCAAGTACTCCAGAATTTATTAATATTATAATGACTATAAAGGAGTGCTAAAAGTCTATACAAATAGGGCCCTCCCTGGTGGCTCAGCAGGTTAAAGCTTTAGCACAAGTTTGATCCCATCCCAAGGAGTTGACCTCTGCAGCAGGTTTTTCTCCTGTCTTGCCCACAGCCCACCCCCCTCCCCAGCAATGTACTTAGTCAATCTGCCTGTTCTGCTCCCCACTCTGTGTCTGGTGAATCTTCTCACCATCTCTGTGGCTCTGGCCTGTACCCCAGTTCTGTATGCATAAATAAATAAATCTTTTTTTTTTAAGGCTATACAAATAAAAAGGGATTAAAAGCATAGGGCATCCCTGGTGGTGTAAGAAGTTAAGCCTCAGTACTATCAAGCTACTGCCAGCCACTGTACAAGTTCATCCCCAGCCCCCAGGGAGCTAACCCACGTGGCACAGCAGACCTCTGCTATCTGGCCCACTGCTCCCCTCAGCAGTATATTTCAGTCAGTCCACCAGTTTTCTGTTTCCTACTCTGTCCCTAGAGAGTCCACTTACTCCTCCTCACCTCTGGCCAACACCCCAGCTCTTGTATGCATAAATGAATAAAGTAAATCTTTAAAAAGGAAAAACAAAAAAGACTAAAAGGATAAGTGGAAAAGGTATAGAACTATGGATTTGGAGTCCTGGAAAGAATGTTAGTCTAACCACAGAGAAATAAAATGATCTGGGTCACATACCAATTAACAAGCCAGAAGTCAAGTCCAAACCTGGAGTTTTCCCTCCTCTCATATTTACCTGGAACAACCATTACTAGTGTGAAGTTATTCATCTAACAGACAGTGATTGAGTAATTCCACATCAGGAAGTATCAGACATGGGTATTTGCACAAAAATAAATAACAGAGATTTCCTGTCCTAGTGAAATTAGCATTACTTGACCCCAAAGCCCACAGATTTTATCTAAATATGAACTTAACTGTTGTTGGAAAACACAGGTAGTAATTTTAAAAATGACTTTGATCTTTCCTGCTGTCTGGTGGAGCCAGCCCCAAGGCCTAGCGGAGGCTTCTTGAATGACATTGACTTTGAGCTCCTTAGAAGTAAGATGGCTAGGGAAATTTGGAAGTGTTGGAATCTGCCATTCCTTCTCTAAAGTAATAATTATCATGTTATGTGTTTCTCAAACTAAATAACCAGGAGTTGGTCTCATTATTCCCTTCCTTCTGCCCTATCAGGCCTACCAAATGTTCCTTCTACCTGAGAACAAGTCCAGTCCTATTTTCCTTCCCATGTAGTGCCATAGCTGCTATCAAGCACTCCTGCCCTACTTCAACCCAAGCTTCACCACCTTCTCACCACCCACTCCGACTCATACTATCCTCCTGTATTCTTTGTATATTTCTCTATGACAGCACTCACATATGTGGAAATTATTAGTGTAAATATAAGGGGAACAACAGGCAAGAGAGGCAGATCACTGCCCTAACGAAGTGTGTACAGGTTTATTCTGATTTCCGACCTTAAATGAGAAAGAACATTCCCTCCAGTTTAAGGCTGCCCAGTATAGAATCCCAGCCTCAAGAGTTGGAAAGGATCTTAGCAAGTACCCAGTAACACTTAGAAGAAATATAAGGAGATATTTCACACTATCAATGTAGAAAAACTCTAGCTGAAATTCCTTAGTATCAATGCTTGTCAGATAAATACAAAAATTTTACATACTAATTTTTATCGTAGTTTATGATATTTAGGCTAGAATCCAGTGAGAAGAAAAAATATAAGTACATATATTATAATTTGAATAGATTTGGGTGACAGAATTTAAGAGGCAGAAGGGTCTTTTAAGATGATTTGTGCAAACCTTTTTCAGGTGAGGTAATTGAGACATGTCTAAGATCTGCAAAAATGTGACAGAGTCCTGATTTGATCCATCTTATTTTTTTTAAGATTTCTTTATTTATGCATACAAGAACTGGGATACAGGCCAGAGGTGTGAGGGGTGAGAGGATTCACCAGAGACAGAGGGAAGCAGAACAGGCAGATGTATTGAAATATACTGCTGGGGGGAGCAGTGGGCAGGTCAGGAGGTTCTGCCACACTGTGTGGCTCACTGCCCTGGCCAGGGATCAAATTCATTCTTCAGTGGCTGTGGACAACTTCATTGTGCTGTACTTTTAGCCCATTGTACCACCAGGGAGGACCCCATTTTCCGAGGCTCATTGCACTTACCACTTCTTTGATCTATAAAATGGTGTAGCATGGCCTCATTGGTGCCTACGGGTTATGTGTTAGTGCTATCATGGCTACTGGCCAGGGACCTAACCCACATATGATGCAACAGACCTCTCTTGTCTTGCCTGCTGTTCCCCTTATTTTAGTAAATCTGTCTGTTCTGCTCCCTACTCTCACTGGTCAATCCTTTCACTCCATACAATTCTGGCTTACACCCCAGTTCTTCTATGCAAAAAATAAAATGTGTGATGCATTTTATTTTATAAAACTGTGATGCAGCAAATATTATGGACTAACAGTTCAAAAAACCCTCTGCTACTCCAACTTTAATGACTGGACACTTAAAACTCTCACCTGTCCAGATTCTTTGGCAGCTGAAGTAACTATGTGCCTCATTGGATGCGTTTCAAGTTTATAAAAAGACAAAGTCAGCTACATTCCTTCACCTGCCTGGAATATAGACACAATGCCTAGAGGTGATGCAGCCATCTTAAGATGATAAGAACAAAAGTCACAGGCTGAGGGTGAGGAGTAAGAGATGGGAGGAGACTAGGTTCTTAACATTTTTCAACAGTTCCTCATTTTTTAATGCCTATCACTGAACTTCTGATAAAGTAAGAATAAACTGTCTTTGAAAACCATCCTTAGTCAATAAATCCTTACTGGCAGAAGCCACTGTTTAGTCCCTGTCACTTGCAGCACTATGGAATCCCAGCTAATACAGGCAGTCAAAGTACTGGAGTCCAAGTTAGGAAACCCCATTAGAGCATTAGCATGCCCAGCTCTGCCAGAAACAGACTGTGTGGCCTTGGGCAAACCATTTCCCATCTGTGCACCTCAAGTTCCTCATTTCTATCAAGGGAAGCTGATCAAGACAGTCTCACCTCTGGCTTTCTCTGATCCCACTCATTATACACACTGTATAATTGGTAATGTGGGACTTCCCTTCCCTTGACAGAATTTTTTTCGTGTTTTATTTTTGTTTTTTAATTGCATTATATTTTTATTGAGGGAACATTGGTATATATCATGTGTGGAAATAAGGCTACCTTTTGGGGCCCTCCCTGGTGGCACAACAGGTTAAAGCACAGCATTATGAAATTATTGCAGCCACTACAGCATGAGTTCAATCCCCAGCTGGGGAGTTGACCCACATGGCACAGCAGACCTCTCCTGTCTCACTCACTGCTCGCCTCAGCAGTATACTTCAGTACATCTGTCTGTTCTGCTCCCCACTCTGTCTCTGTTGAATTCTTTCACCCCTGCATCTCTGACCTGTACCCCAGTTCTGTATGCATAAATAAATAATTTTTTTTTTAAAGAAAGAAAGAAGACTACTTTTTTATTGTGTCCACTTGTTCTGTGACCTCAGGACTAGTTGCAAGGGCCTGCCTGTTGTGACTGTGATAAAACACATACCTTTGGGG